AGATTGAGTTGTTTGGGAAGAACACACAACACTATGTGTGGAGAAAAAAAGGCACAGCACACCAACATCAAAACCTCATCCCCACTGTAAAGCATGGCGGAGGGAGCATCATGGTTTGGGGCTGCTTTGCTGCCTCAGGGCCTGGACAGATTGTTGTCATTGATGGGAAAATGAATTCCAGAGTTTATCAAGACATTTTGCAGGAAAACGTACGACCATCTGTCCGCCAACTGAAGCTCCGCAGAGGATAGGTGATGCAACAGGACAATGACCCAAAGCATACAAGTAATTCAACAAAACAATGGCTGCAACAGCACAGAATACGCCTTCTGGAGTGGCCCAGTCAGAGTCCTGACCTCAACCCGATTGAAGTGCTGTGGCATGACCTTAAGAGAGCGATTCACACCAGACATCCCAAGAATATTGCTACACTGAAACAGTTTTGAGAAGAGGAGTGGTCCAAAATTACTCCAGATCGTTGTGCAGGTCTGATCTGCAACTACAGGAAATGTTTGGTTGAGGTTATTGCTGCCAAAGGAGGGTCAACCAGTTATTAAGTCCAAAGGTTCACATACTTTTTCCTCCCTGCACTGTGAATGTTTACATGTTATGTGCAATTAAACCATGGCAACATCTAATGTTTGTGTAGTATTATGTTCAGCAGACTATGTTCTTCTATTGTTGTGACTTAGATGATGTTCAGAGCACATTTTATGCCCAATTCATGCAAAACTCCACGTAATCCCAAGGGGTTCACATACTTTTTCTTGCAACTGTACAGACTGATTTTACTGTTGTGGGTTTAGTAACACTTTAACTTTCTGTCCTGTAGATATAACTGAAAGTGAAAGATTTTCCTTGTGTCTGTTCTGTTAACTCAAAATGTTTATTTTTTTCCCCTCCCTTTCTGATAGCGGTCACCAGGATAGACAAAGAAGGTGACTTTCCCAAGCAGGGGCACAGGCATCAGTAAAAATCTGACAGGGCTACTGACCTCTCTGCATACTATCCAAAAGTTAAAAACTGGATTTAGATATACCTTAAGGGGTTGCTACACTATGGGTTTCTTTTAGTACCTTCTTGTTTTTGGGAATTGTCATTACTAACCCGAAACTAACAAAGTTTAAAAACAAGATGGCAGAGTTGCTCTCCCCAGTGCTTTCAGGCTACACTTTTGTGTGTGTGTTTTTGTACAAAACAAGGGCTTATACAGTGCTCAGCATTCATGAGTACACCCCAACAGATTTGTCAGAAAACCTTTACTTTCCTTTCAGAATCCACATTTTCTTCAGGACACTATACTACAAAATACTCCCACAAATGCGGGCCATTGATTGCAAACAAGATTTCTTAATTTGCACACACAAAAAAGTATTTTTCCTAAGAAATTCATTCAAGACCATGGTGCAAAAATGAATACACCCCAATTAAAGTCTTAGGAACAAAGCTAAATTTTAGATAACAAAATCCCAATTAACAATTGAAGGAGTCGGTGGAAAATTCTTGGCCAACCAGTGTCTGCATCCAATAGCCAGCACTGCAGATTCTTGCTGTTTATCATGGATGAGGGAATCAAATAATCTGTCTTGTTCAGCCCATCTCTAGAACTCTGCTCTTTCCAGTAATCCTTTATCGGCATGTTTACAAGAGGCTGATAAATCAAATTCAGGTATTTATGCTGCTTACATTTAAAAAATACATTTAATCATATATTAAAGTGGTTGTAAAGGCAGAAGGTTTGTTTTTTTACCTTAATGCATTATAGTAAAAAAAAAACCTGCATGCAGCTCCCCCTCTAAATACATATGTGAGTCTGATCACGATCCAGCGATGTACCATTGGCTCCCACTGCTGTCAATCAGAGCCAGTGACAAGCAGCAGGGGGCAGGACTGCACCCTGTTCTCCTGTTCTGTGTGTCTTATGGACATACACAGCAGGGATCGGGAGCGAGCATGCACAAGTGCCCCCATAGATAGTGGTTTGTTATGGGGGCACTTGTCGAGGGGGTGGAGCCCAAAGCACTGGCAGGGGACCCTAGAAGAGGATGGGGACTGCTTTCTATTCTGAGTTAACAATGTTTTATTTTTTCATTAAAAAGAAGCAAACACACATTAACACTTGTTAGGCACAAATGGCACAAACTTAACCCCTAGATTGCCAAGAGTTGTTAACCCCCCCCATCCCAGCCAGTATCATTATACAGTGACAGTGTATAGTATTATTACTGTATTAGTGTCACTGGTGGTGTCAGTTAGTCAGTTCCCACCCAGTGTCAGATTGCCCACCGCATCAAAGTCCCACTATAAGCTGCAGATCACCACCATTACTAGTATAAAATATTAAATAAAAAATCCACTATATATACCATAGTTTGTAGATGCTATAACTTTCACACAAACCAATTAACCACTTTCGTGCCACCCTATAGCAGAAGTTCTGCTACAGGGTGTCATGGGTGCACAAAAATCACGGATATACTGTATATATGATTTTGCAGTTTCGGGTAGGGGGCGCACTGCCATTCGCGGCCTCGGCAGTCAATAACTGGGTCCTGGCCGGTGATCACCGAATATCTCCAGCGGGCGAGTATAAACAACACATATCTCTCCACTGTCAGCTCCTGCACACTGTTTTGTATGGCTCTGCATAGCACAGCCATACAAAGCAGTGTGCTTACAGTGGAAAGCACACACACAACATACTGTGAAACAGCACACAGTTAACCCTTTGATCACCCCACATATTAACCCCTTCCTGCCCAGTGCCATTAGTACAGTGTTAGTGCTTTTTATTAGCACTGATCATTGTATCGGTGTCACTGGGGATGTCAGTGACACCAAGTCAGTTCTCCTCAGTGTCAGAATGCCCGCCACAGTCCCTCTTTAAGTCGCTGATCGCCGCCATTACTAGTAAGAAAAAAAATTACAATATATATACCCGCCATTTGAAAATGCTATAACTTTCACTTAACCCAATTAATTTACACATATTGGGATTTTTTTTTAGCAAAGACATGTCGCAAAATACATTTTGGCCTAAATTGATGACAAAATTTGATTTTTTTAGAAAAGATTTTACTGGACATGTTTAATAGCAAAAAGTCAAAAATATAGTTTTTTTTTCTCAAAATTGCCGAACTTTTTTATTTATAAAGCAAAAAATAAAAACCGCACAGGTGATCAAATACTACCAAAAGAAAGCTCTATTTGTGGGAAAAAAGGACATAAATTTCATTTGGGTGCAGCGTTGCATGACCGCGCAATTTTCAGTTAAAGTAACGCAGCTCCGTATTGCATAAAGTGGCCTGGCCATGAATGGGGGTAAATGCTCTGGAGGGCAAGTGGTTAATATACACTTATTAGGATTTTTTTTTCTACCAAAGACATGTAGCAGAATATTTTTTGGCCTAAATTTATGAAGAAATTTGATGTTTTAATTTTTTATGTTTTATAACAGGAAGTAAAAAAAATACATATTTTTTTTTATTTTTGGTCTTTTTCGTTGAGCTGACGTTGAGCTTCAGTCATCCCAGTAACGTCTCATTGATTGTAATGTGCTTGTACACTGGAAAAAAAATGATGTCAGTAATATACAATAATAATTCAAAGTAATCATGGCTGATGCAGGGTGGGGACTAAAAAGTTTTTACCAAAGACGTAGCAGAATTCATTTTGGCCTAAATTTATGAAATTTGATGTTTTTAATTTTTTATGGATAGGTTTTATAGCAGGAAGTAAAAAATACTGTTTTTTTTTTTTTCTTTTTTCAAAATATTTTGTCTTTTTCATTGAGCTGGCGTTGAGCTTCAGTCATCTCAGTAGCGTCCCATTGATTGTAATGTGCTTATACACTGGGAAAAAAATGATGACAATAATAATTCAAAGTAATCATGGCTGATGCAGGGTGGGGACTAAAAATGGACTTTGTTGCTTTAAAAAAGGCCTAGATTCTTTCTTAAATATATATATATATATATATATATACACACAGAAGTGACATCTTGCTTACTACTCTGCATGTGATCACAGATTGGCCAATCAGTGATCATATGATTGGGACCTTGCACAGAGGACCCGTACGACAATCGGTGTTCTACTGTGTCCGGATCACGGTGCTGCGTGCACCCAGGTAGCGCTCACAGTCCATAATGGCGGGCGCCATTTATGAACGGCAGCCCGCTCCTGGACTGCTACCGTCCGGCCGTTTATATACAGCAGCCGGACGGCAAGTGGTTAAAAGGTACAAAGAACATAAAAGTATATGTAAAAAGGAAACCAAGGCCATAAAAATTCAAACTGAACAACTGATTGCAAAGGAGAACAGGGCAACCCCCCCCCCCTAAAAAAAATAATTCTTCACATATATTAACTGTAAAAGGTTAGCTCTAAGCATATTGGCCCTTTAAAAGGTCATTTTGAGTTGGTGACTGGGGACAAATATTTTTTCAGCTCTGTCTATACAAAAGAAAATGGGAGGAGTGCTTAACCACTTCAAGTCCGGACACTTCACCCCCTTCCTGTCCACTGACCCTATATGAATATTTTAGCATTTTTATGAGACAGATAAAACTTTATTTTGGTGTTATTTATTCACCACTGGGATTTTAATTTTTTTTTGCTATATAAATGAAAAAGTCAAAAAAGTTTGAAAAAAAGTGTTTTTTTTCTTATACAATTTTGCAAATAAATAATCTTTCTTCATAAATTTTGGCCAAAATGTATTCAGTTATCTTTTTAATAAATAACCCAAATTAGTTTATAACCAAAAATTATAATTTTTTAAAAACATTTTTACATTTTTATTTTATTTTTTATATTATTATTTATGGGTTTTGTGGGGTTTTTTTTACATATCTTTACCCTAGCAGTACAGTCTCACCATAGTGACACTGTACTACTTGTGGGGGGTGATGAAGATTTTTTTTTGTTTTACATTGATTGCTTTTACACCCATAAAGGCTGTAAAAGCAATCATTCCTGCAGCCATTGAGAAATACTATGTAATCTGTGATTGGTCACAGCTTGTCACATGGTACAAGGCTGTTGTCAATAGCCTTGTACCATGTGACCTCTGTGATCATTCACAGATTTCACACGTAGTAAGCAATGATGTCAGAAGTGACATCTTGCTTACTACTCTTCATGTGATCACTGATTGGCCAATCAGTGATCACAAGATCGTGACCTCACACAGAGGTCTCGTACAACGATCGGTGTTCCTCAGGACACAGCGGGCACCGGATTGTGGTGCCGCACGCTCCCAGGTAATGCGCACAAGCGGGAAGGACATTTATAAATGGCCACCCGTCCCTGCACTGCTCCCGTCCGGCCGTTTATATACATGGGAAGTGGTTGATGGGGATGATATTGACAAAGCCCCAAATGAACCACTGTGGCTCAAAATTGATATGGTCCAGAAACATTTAGACAAAGGTGAATAACGCACCTGGACCGGATGACTTACACCCAAGGATCCTCAAAATGTAGAGCTGTGTTATATGTAAGCCGTTGTTATTTTTAGAAACTCATTATTGACTGGCATAGTAGCACTGGATTGATGAAAGGCCAATGTGGTTCCTATATTTACAGGACATGTTCACCTTTTCTAACAAGTTACATGTTACACCCATTTTTTGGATTTAACATGTTACTGCTGCAGCTGCCCCCTGCTGATCATGCATTCTTTATAGGCTCCCAATAAAAAAAATAATAAATGCACATTTTTTTACCTGCAAAAAAGATGTGCATTTATTATTTTTTTTTCAAAAGGCAAACTTATCCTTTAAAAAAAGAAGTAACTACAGACGGGTTAGTTTAATTTCTGTAGTCTGTAAGATACTGGAGAGTTTAATAAAAGACCACATAGAAGAGGTTTTTTCTTATTTCTTTTTTGAGGAGGTAAGCAACAAAGTAGACAATGAAGTGGACATAGTTTGCTTGGATTTTGCCAAAGCGTTTCACAGTTTCCAAGACACAGCTAATGTGTAAGGTAAAGTCTACAGGCTTGGAAAATTCAGTTTGCAAATAGAAAACTGGCTAAAAAATTGTATTCAGAGAGTAGTGTGTAATGATTCATACTCTGGCCTAAGGTTTTTAGTGATGTACCCCAAGGTTCAGTGTTGGGACCCTTACTTTTTAATATATTTATATATGATATAGGGTCTGGGATTAAAAATCAAATTTTAGTGTTTACAGATGACACCAAGCTGTGCAGTGGAATAACGTCTTTACAGGATGTCTCCAATTTACAAGCCAACCTCAATGCACTGTTTAATTGGTCATCTAAGTGGCAAATGAGGTTTAATGTTGAAAAATGTAAGGTATGCACTTGAGGGCTAAAAACATGCATGCATCATACACACTAGAAGGAGAAAAGCTGGGGGAATCAATGGTGGAGAAGGATCTGGGGGTTCTGGTAGATCACAAGCTTAATAATGGCATGCAATGCCAAGCTGCAGTTTCTAAAGTGAGCAAAATCCTCTCTTTTATTAGAGGTATAGACTCCAGAGAGAGATATCATATAACCCCGGTACAAATCATTAGTAAGACCTCATCTGGAATATGCAGTTCAGTTTTGGGCATCAATTCACAAAAAGAACATTGGGGAACTGGAGAAAGTACAGAGAAGGGCAACCAAACTGATAAGAGGCAAGGAGGAGGTGAGAAGAGGTGATTATAAATACATATGTGGACCATATAATTATTATTATACAGTATTTATAAAGCGCCAATAGTTCGCTCAGCACTGTACATTACAAAGGGGGACAGAACATGTGACAGAACAATACCAATACAATGCAAAACATGAGGGGATTGAGGGCCCTGCTCTTTCGAGCTTACAATCTAGGAGGGAGGGGATAGTGGTACAGGAGGAGATAGCTGTGGGGGATGGAGTGGTAGGAAGAGTGGAGGAGGTCGGCAAGTTAGCAGGGGGTGGGGTAGGCTTCCTTGAAGAGATGGGTTTTCAGGGTGCACCTAAAGGAGAGGAGAGTAGGTGATAATCTGATGGGTTGGGGCAGGGAGTTCCAGAGGATGGGTGACACCCTGGAGAAGTCCTGGAGGCGGGCATGGGAGGAGGGGACCAGGGAACTAGAGAGAAGGAGGTCTTGTGAGGAGCGGAGTGTGCGTGCTGGGCGGTACTTGGATATTAGGTCAGTGATGTAGTTCGGGGCAGTATGGTGGACAGCTTTGTACGTCAGTGTTAGGATTTTGAATTTGATCCGTTGCGCAATCGGAAGCCAGTGGAGGGATTGGCAGAGGGGGGTGGCGGAAACGGAGCCGTTGGAAAGGTGAATGAGTCTAGCAGCCGTATTCAGGATCGACTGAAGCGGGGATAGCCTGTGGCGAGGCAGGCCAGTGAGGAGGGAGTTGCAGTAATCGAGTCGTGATATGATGAGGGAGTGGATGAGCTGTTTAGTGCTTTCTGGGGTTAGGAACGCGCGTATTTTGGCGATGTTGCGGAGGTGGAGTCTGCATGAGTTAGTTAAAGATTAGACTTGGGGCTGGAAGGATAGGTTGGAGTCCAGAATGACACCAAGTACTCTGGTAGAGATGGGTTTTCTGTGAAAAGTCCAGACTTGACAAAACGCATGCGCGCGAAACATGTTGTCCCAGCAACCGGCCTCTTCCTTCTAAAGCTGCGGCTCCAGCAAGAGTTCCCCCCCTCCGTCTCTCCACATCGTGGTGACGTCATCCAGGACGCTGGGACGTCGGGTAAACGTGGTCCCTGCACTGACAGGCATTCTACTCCACTGCTTCCCTCTGAGTGGACGGGCCGTCCATCTTGGAACCTGGCTTCCTAAAGCCACAGGCTGGTTATTTATTATTGTTTTATCCATATGACTTATTAAAGGCACACCTCCATATAAGGTGTATTATTTTTATCACAAAACTACACAGCGCCTGGCTCCTGTTCATACCTCCCACAAACCGATGTGTTTTTACCATGGCAGCAGTGAGTTTTTTTCCCCACCAATCATAGTTGACATATACCATTCACTTATTTCCTTTGGGACACATCTGTGCGCTTTTATCCAGACCGTTCTTCTTCACAGTAAGAGCTGTTAAATGTAGAATAGACTCCCTTATGAACTAGGTCTGGCCAGCTCAGTAAATTTTTTAAAAATAGCTGGATGCATTTGTAAATGCATAAAGTATAACTGGATACGAAGATTACCACCTGGGGCATGGGGGGTGTGATTTTTATTTATTGGTTGAACTAGATGTGTCTTTTTTCAACCTAACTATGTACAGTGCTTTGCAAAAGTATTCATACCCCTTGAAATGTTCCACATTTTGTCATCTTACAACCAGGGGCACATTTACCACAAGGCAAACAAGGCATTTGCCTAGGGCGGCATTTTTTAGGGGGGCAGCACTGGAACCACAGAAAAAGGGACATATGTGGCATGGGGACCAGATGGGATCTGAGAGAGGCTGCAGACTGTTTGATGGTGTTTGCTGAGCCCGACTGGCATTCCTGGGGATGGCCAGAGCTGTGAAGGTGAGTGTCTTTCTCTCTGTCGCCGGGGGGGTGGCTATTAATGGAAGGCTCTCTGGTGGGGGGGGTGGAGCAGGGGTGTTGCTGGTCACTGTCAGGCTCTATCCACGGGAGGGGGGGGGTCTGGTGTTGGTTGGTGTTATGCTCTCTCCGCCAGGAAGGGGAGGTGTCCGAATTTTGTGTTGCCTAGGGCAGCACAAAACCTAAATACACAACTGGTTACAACCAAAACATTAAATGTATTTTATTGGTATTTTATGCAATATACCAACACAAAGTGGCACAAAATTGTGAAGTGGAAGAAAAATGATAAATCACTTTCAAAATTCTTTACAAATAAATATCTGAAAAGTGTGGCGTGCATTTGTATTCAGCCCTCTTTATTCTGATACCCCTAACTAAAATCTAGTGGAACCGATTGCATTCAGATGTCACCTAATTAGTAAATAGAGTCCACCTGTGTGTAATTTAATCTCAGTATAAATACAGCTGTTCTGTGAAGCCCTCAGAGGTTTGTTTAGAGCAGTGTTTTTCAACCTTTTTTGTGCAAAAGCACACTTTTTTTCATGAAAAAAATCACGAGGCACACCACCATTAGAAAATGTTAAAAAAAATTTACCTCTGTGCCTATATTGACTATATATAAAGTAATTCTCTTGAATAGGAATCAAACACAAAGAAATTATTTTACAATTACTTTATTATGAAATAATAAAGTATTTTATAATTGGACCCGGGGGCCGGACCAAGAGTAGATGAATGATGTGTATGTGTCATCCATAGTAAGTATAGTAATATTCCCCCATAGTAAGCATAGTAATTAATCCCCCATATAGTAATTTATCCCCCATATAGTAATTCATCCCCCATATAGTAATTCATCCCCCATAGTAATTCATCCCCCATATAGTAATTCATCCCCCATAGTAATTAATCCCCCATATAGTAATTCATCCCCCATAGTAATGCATCCCCCATATAGTAATTCATCCCCCATATAGTAATTCATCCCCCATAGTAATTAATCCCCCATATAGTAATTCATCCCCCATAGTAATTAATCCCCCATATAGTAATTCATCCCCCATAGTAATTCATCCTCCATATAGTAATTCATCCCCCATAGTAATTCATCCCCCATAGTAATTCATCCCCCCCTATAGTAATTCACCCCCCATATAGTAATTCATCCCCCATAGTAATTCATCCCCCCTATAGTAATTCATCCCCCCTATAGTAATTCATCCCCCATATTAAGTCCCCAAGCCCCCCCTGTGTCAATTCACTTACCTTTGCTCCGCGCGTTCCTCTCGCCGTTCCGGTGTAGCATGAAAATCTGTCTCCTATGAGGATCTGTCCCCCTCGACGTATCTGCGCATATGCCATTTCAGGCATTAGCAGCCGATGGGCGACACATGCGCAGATACGTCGAGGGGGACAGATCATCCTGACAGTATCACGCTCCGCGGGCCGGATTAAAAGGTCCGCCGGGCCGTAGTTTGCCCATTGCTGTTCTAATGATTGGTCTATTTGTGAGCCGAGGCCACATGTTACGGATGCAATTTTTCCCACGCACACCAGACAATAATCTCACGGCACACTAGTGGCCGCGGCACAGTTTGAAAAACGCTGTGTTAGAGAACATTAGTGAACAACAAACAGCATCATGAAGGCCAAGGAACACACCAGACAGGTCAGGGATAAAGTTGTGGAGAAGTTTAAAGCAGGGTTAGGTTATAAAAAAATATCCCAAGCTTAGAACATCTCACGGAGCTCTGTTCAATCCATCATCCAAAAATGGAAAGAGTATGGCACAACTGCAAACCTACCAAGACATGGCTGTCCACCTAAACTGACAGGCCGGGCAAGGAGAGCATTAATCAGAGAAGCAGCCAAGAGGCCCATGGTAACTCTGGAGGAGCTGCAGAGGTCCACAGCTCAGGTGGGATAATCTGTCCACAGGACAACGATTACTTGTGCACTCCACAAATCTGGCTTTTATGGAAGAGTGGCAAGAAGAAAGCCATTATTGAAAGAAAGCCATAAGAAGTTCAGTTTGCAGTTTGCCAGAAGCCATGTTGTGGACAGAAAACATGTGGAAGTAGGTGCTCTGGTCAGATGAGACCAAAATTTAACTTTTTACCTAAAAGCAAAACGCTGTGTGTGGCGGAAAACTAACACTGCACATCACCCTGAACACACCATCCCCCCACCGTGAAACATGGTGGCGGCAGCATCATGTTGTGGAGATGCTTTTCTTCAGCAGGGACAGGGAAGCTGGTCAGAGTTGATGGGAAGATGGATGGATCCAAATACAGGGTTTTCTTAGAAGAAAACCTGTTAGAGTCTGCAAAAGACTTGAGACTGGGGTGGAGGTTCACCTTCCAGCAGGACAACGACCCTAAACATCCAGCCAGAGCTACAATGGAATGGTTTAGATCAAAGCATATTCATGTGTTAGAATGGCCCAGTCAAAGTCCAGACCTAAATCCAATTGAGAATCTGTGGCAGGACTTGAAAATTACTGTTCACAGACACTCTCCATCCAATCTGACAGAGCTTGATCTATTTTGCAAAGCAGAATGGGCAAAAAATGTCCCTCTATAGATGTACAAAGCTTGGAGAGCCATCCCCAAAAAGACTTGCAGCTGTAATTGCAGAGAAAGGGGGTCCTACAAAGTATTGACTCCGGGGGGCTGAATACATATGCATGCCACACTTTTCACAGATTTATTGTAAAAAATTTTTGAAAACCATTTATCATTGGCCAATCAGTGATCACATGATCGGGACCTCGCACAGAGGTACGACGATCGGTGTTCTACTGTATCCAGAGGACACAGGGGGTATCGGATCGCGGTGCTGCACGCTCCCAGGGAGTGCTCACAAACGGGGCTGGGAGGCTGTTTATAAACGGCCACCCGACTCTGCACTGCCACCGTCCGGTCATTTATATACAACGGATGGATGGGAGGTGGTTAACAGTACTCAATTAAGAGATCAGCTAGATGTCCTCAGTTGTGATTAGTTCTAATTTTGGAGTATCCTACTACCTTCCCAATCCCTATCCCCAGTTCTACAATAAACTCCAAAAAAAAAAAAAAAAACCTGGCTGTAAAAATACGTTGTGCCTGGATGCAGGGCGAATCAAAGGGAGACCTGAGCAACTCCTGCACTACATAAGCATAGACAGTTCATCACATTCGGACTTACTTTTCAGCAGGGATCAGCAGTCACTAAGCAGAAGGAAACCCCAATTCTACCATTTATATCCTGTTACAGTTGTTGAAGATTTAAGGACTCTACTTGATAACTTGCATTTAAGGACTTTTCTGCCCACTTTTATTTAACCACTTCCAGTCCGGACACTTTCACCCCCTACCTGTCCAAGCTAATTTTCAGCGCGATCACACTTTGAATGACAATTGCACGGCCATGCAACACTGTACTCATATGAAATTTTCAGCATTTTTTTTTGAGACAGATAAAACTTTTGGTGGTATTTATTCACCACTGGGATTTTTATTTTTTGCTATATAAATGAAAAAGTCCAAAAATTTGGAAAAAAAATAGTTTTTTTCTTATACAATTTTGCATATAATCTTTCTTCATAAATCTTGACCAAAATGTATTCAGTTATATTTTTAGTAAAAAAAAAAAAACCCAAATTAGTTTATAACCAAAAATTATAATTTCAAAGAAAAAATTTTTTACATTTTTAATTTTTTATGGGTTTTTTTTTTTAACATTGTGGGGGGGGGTGATGATTCTTTTTTTTTTTTTAACATCGATTGCTTTTTCACCCATAAAGACTGTAAAAGCAATCTTTTCTCCTCTCTGGCTGCATTCTTGCAGCCATTGAGAAATTCTGTGTGAGCTGTGATTGGTCACAGCTTGTCACATTGTACAAGGCTGTTGTGAATAGACTTGTACCATGTGACCTCTGTGATCATTCACAGATTTCACTAGTAGTAAGCAATGTCAGGAAGTGACATCTTGCATACTACTATTCATGTGATCACTGATTGGCCAATCAGTGATCACATGAATCGGGACCTCCGCTGTGCACCGGATCGACGTGCCGCACGCTCCCTGGGAGCGCACACAGGCAGGGAAGCGGGAGAATGTTTATAAACGGCCACCCGCTGCTGCACTGCTCCCGTCTGGCTGTTTATGTACATGGGCCGGATGGGAAGTAGTTAAAAGGACATTTTTTGACAGCAGGTTCCCTACACAAGGGTTTCAGCATCACATCAATACAACATAACTTGTTCAGCCTTCTAGCTAACTTTGGCCCACTCAGGCCTTCAATCTCTTTCCCAGAATCACAAACTCAGCCTCCTGGCTTTTAATTTGCCCCACTTGGGCTGTATAGGCTTTCCGTAGCACTGTCTCTTTCTGTACCAGACAGTGGCCCACAAGCCCGATGGCAGTCTTCAGCCTGTCCTTGAAGCTGTGCTGGTGTCAACTCCTAGTGTGTCTGTTCACACACACCCTGAGCTACTCCCTAGTCATGACCGGTCAGACTGACTGCCATTTATGAGCAACACCCTCCTGAACATTAGTCTTGCACCTCTCCAGGAACTCATTGCATGCTAAATCAAGCTTCAACCATCTTATTATGTGCAATGTTTACACAGTGATAGAACGTGTGTCACAATATATACAATTGATTTGATTATATGACAAGCTTTTAAGTTACTAGCTTGTAATTAATGGCTGGCATAGCTGGTGAAAAGCATAGGCATCACTAGACTCAGGCACTGGGAACACAGGCCCCAGAGACTGGGGGCGCATGCCCGGGTCACCTCCAGCAAGACCTGAGTAAGTCAATTTGTATGTATGCAGCACCAGATGAAGGGCCATCCTGCTCAAGGCAACCTGCATAGGTCTGGTCCATTGTTACAGAGGAGAGACCTAGAAAGAGGAGGGGGGAAGAGGAGTCAGACCTCTACAGCATATAGAGGTTGTTCCTGATATAAATTGTTGCAATCTAAAATACATATGCGCACATGGGGGGGGGGGGGTGTGGAAGGAAAACTACCGTATTTTTCGCTCCATAATACGCACCTAGATTTTAGAGGAGGAAAACAGGAAAAAAAATATTCTGAACAAAACGGACTGCAGACTTACTACAGGAGATGTAGAAGAAGATGAAAGAAAGAGCGCACAAACCTTGCACATCACCTCAATAAATAGTGACTAATTTAATTATTAAGGAAATATACTCACAAAGTGATGGTATAACAGGCATAAGTAACCATAATTCAAACAGGGTTACAGGTAAATCCAAATGGAAGGGGGGGGGGGGGGGGTTGAAGGCTAACGTGTTTCGAAGGGTGCTCCCTTCTTCATCAGAGCTGATAAAAAAAAAAAAAAAAAAAACATATACAAATATAAATTCCCCTCAAACTATTTACATGAATCATGAAGGTATAACAGGTGGTGATACTGTAGATGAGCATAGCAATGCACATGAAAATACTCATAGAAATGGCAATACGTATAGTAATAATATCAAAAATCTCATACAGAAAAGGAATATATAGAAAACATGTACCAAAAAAAAAAAAAAAAACTATAATATATATATATATATATACACACATACACACACATATTATATATATATATATTATATATATATATATACATACATACACACACATACATGGAAAAAATGGATGGGAATGATGGAATAGATTGAGAGCTTAATTGTAAAACTGGCATAAGAATTGCTGGTAAAAAAAAAAAAAAAAAAAAAAAAAAAAATTTATAGAAAGAATCCATAGAACAAACATATGTAAATGCAAAAGCACAATTGCAATTTAAAAACAGGATGCATTCATTGTATTATGTGTAGTATAGAATAGTGTGTGATATTATAAAGGATACCTGGGTTGAGCAGATAGAGACTTCAGTATGGCAGAGTTCCCATGGCAAGGAGATATTCAGCCACTGGGTGTCAGTATTACAGCAGTTCAGCCTGTTTAGTGTGGCTGGCGAATTAAAGTAATGGCTTAAATACTGTAGGCCACCTGCAGGTGGCAGTGGAACGCACGCCGACTAATATGCACTATTGCGCATGTGCTGTGCGTTCCGGGGGCCATATTAAAGAGGATCATGAAGCAGGAAGTCTCTGACACAACAGCCCGTACAGTAAAGAGAGATCAAAGGGCTGAAAAATGACCAGGAACCCACTAGACCTTAGATTTATATTTAGTTATTAAAGGACCATAAACAGTACATAAATAAATGGATCTTTGGTTACTACAGGAGATGACCAGAGGCTGCAGGACACAGTACAGGAGATGACCAGAGCCTGTGGGGCTCAGTACGGGAGATGACCAGAGCCTGCGGAGACAGTACGGGAGATGACCAGAGCCTGCGGAGACAGTACGGGAGATGACCAGAGCCTGCGGAGACAGTACGGGAGATGACCAGAGCCTGCGGGCTCAGTACGGGAGATGACCAGAGCCTGCGGACCATTGGGGAGTGGGTATCCGAATTTAACAGGTCCTCCCTCCCCATAATCTTCTGGGACACATGACAGATCCTAGAAGATTGCAGGGCCATTCACAAAGTGCAGCACTTCAAGCACATGGGCAACCCGGCTGTAAAGCCACAAGCTGTCACAGCCGGGTACCCATGCCAGGGAGAGAAGACTGTGAGAACACCTGTGCATAGCACTCCCATCCAAAGCAGTGTGCTTACAGTGAAGTAAGCGGGCAGAGCGCATAGTGAAACAGCACAGTTAACCCTTTGATCACCCCTCATGTTAACCCCTTCCTGCCGAGTGCCATTAGTACATTGTCAGTGCTTTTCTTTTTATCACTGTATTGGTGTCACCGGGGATGTCAGTGACACCAAGTCAGTTCCCCCCCCCCCCCGTGTCTCACTGAAGAAAGTGGGAGGGCACTAAAATAGGACAGAAACCTAGCCCAAGCTACTGTAAAAATCAACACATCCAGATTAGCTGCAGGAAGGAGTGGATTCATCCTATGGAGAAACTTCAGTGATAAAGTCCCAAGACTCACACCTTCCCTCTCCAAAGACAGACATAGCAGTAAGTAGCCTATTCTAGTCTGCAGCATTGTACGTAAATAGAAAAAGGGGGCATTGGAACTTCACCAAAAGGAGGGCTGCCATCAGATCCTAGATTCTTGTAAAAGTGGAGGATCGAACATCTCCTGGGCTGGAAAGCCCAAATCTGAAATAGGAGTCTAAAGTTCCCCTGGTGGAAAGTTTCTAAACCAGAGTTCTCTCACGGTCTTTACTCTTGTACAGAGATTACCACGTATAGAGACAAGATGGGACAAATATCCCTTTTGTGTATAGAAGTGTTTCTTAACCAGGATGCACAGGAGCCAGTTTGCCTTGGATCAGTGTCATGAGTTGCCATGGTGTGAGTGGGCCAGCCACCAGCACCTTAACCAATGACTCTAGGGCCAGGCCTTATGGCATCATTCACTGCTGTGATGGCAGTTGGCTTTCCCACATCATTGGGAAGTATGATTCTGATCCAGGGCAGATGGCATGCAGGGCCACCCCCAGCATTCAGAAGTCCACATCCTCCACACTGCTGGAGCCAAAAGTCAGGACTCCAATATGAACAGGGCACTGTACGATTGGAGACTCATGTCTAGGGGAGATTTTGACATGGTGAGGGTTTCATGGTTTCTTTATAGGGGCCTTTGATGTGAAGTTACGTTTATCAAGGTAGTTGTGTGCATTGTCCTCAGGCCAGGTTTCCCATTGATAAGGAACATTGTTTTTAGCATTATAGACTTGGGTACCTCAAGATATTGCATACATGTATAAAGGCACCATGACTTGAGGTTAAGAAAGTTGTGTATCGGAATGGTAACAATATAACAGGAGGGAAGAGGGGGGGGGGGGGGGGGGGAATTAAAAAAAAAAGTTGGGTTGCCACAGAAAATGGGGCAATGACACTTCATTACAGAAGACCCTAGAGGGCTCAGTGGGAATCAGTTAATCTGCAGCGACACAAAGATCAGAGATGAGGTTGTGCTTCAGAGAGCAAAACTCCAGCTATAGAGGCTCATCATGATGTCAAGGGAACCCCCCCCCCCCAAAAAAAAATTTCCTGCCTATGTTCATGGTGTAACAGAAAGGCAGTGTCTTCCCACTTCTAGGTGGAACAAACCACCTTCATCAGAAAAGAAACCAACTTTCCTCTGTCCAAACCACCAAGGACTGGAACGCACACACCTTAGCAGGGTCCTCTAAAAAAGGTAGCCAGTCCGTACACTAATGCAGATACAGGCATGTCTTGGTAGAAGCCGCATTCGCTCCTGAGATCAGCTTCCTACAGGGGACCAGAGCAGGCTGCCAGTGTCATTTCTTGTATAGGTAGTACTATAATCCCACAGTCTCAAGAACTCTCAAGTCCCTCAGTGCTAAAAAAATAAATAAAAAATGTATCCAAATCTGCTATCAAATAAAAGCACTATATGTTGCTAGAAAAACTAACTAGGATGTGTTGACTACAAAACCTAAAAAGATATATAAAAAGAGTGGAACCAAGACATTGTAGAAACCAACACTCAGGGGTGGAGTTATAGGGCAAAAGTGCTCAGGGACTCAAGTGGTTAAAAATGAGAAGAGTAATGCAACAAGTTTGAATTTCCTCCAAATTTGGAAGATCAGTAAAAAAAGGACTCAATGGACTCATTGGAGGGGAGAGGAAATTTATTGAGCACAGGGAAGTACTCTATATATACACAGACTGACTCAGGGCTTTATTTTTTGCTTGATTCCTCTTCCTTTGAGAGTGTCTTGATTATTTCCTCTTTCTTGGCCTGAAGTCTCTCTTCACGGCGTTTCCTTGCCTCCTTTGTCTTGGATCTGCGAGCTTCTGCCTGGTCACTGTAGGGACAACAAAGCAATTATGAGACAAGATTGCAGAACATCTTTCTGCCTGAAGTTAACCAAAATGTTTAATGTGACCTGCTAGACATCTAAAAACTGATTAATAGTATTACACTGAATGTAATAAAAGGCTAACTCCATCTTTGGTGTATGGTATACCCACCGATTTTGGTTGCAATGCTTTGCATATATAAATAGATAAAAAAAAATAAAAAAAAAAATCTATACCAGGGAATCAGCTTTAATCATTTGGCTTCTGCAACGTGTAAATGAAAGCATGCTTTTTTTTTGGAAGGCAGTGTCAACACCTCTGTCAGGTAATTTGTGACACAGAAGGGTGTTTTTCTCTTAAGGACCCCCCTGTCAAATCAAAAGGTAGCAAGAGGAAATCTTAAACACTACCTCATCCAAAATGAAACCATTTTGGAAATACATCAACAGGGCCTTGCATGCTCCCCTTATTCAAAAATGGAATGTTGCCTTTCTTTGCAAACTAGTGCAAACTCTTGCATGCTCTGCTCCTTCCATGTCCATGAGCCAGTGAAGACTGCCCAGGCACACTGGTGATTGGAAGCATCAGCATGGCTTCTGATCATGTCAGCGACATCTGATGTACCCGCGGTGACTAGTCCTGATTCTGTGTGCGGGCACTTTAGGCATACAAGCCAGGCAGGACACCAATATAGTACACATAGGCCAGGTACTTACGCCAACAGCTTCTTGCGAGCCTTGTCTGCCTTCAGTTTGTGGATGTGCTCCATGAGAATACGCTTGTTCTTAAACACATTTCCCTTGACTTTCAGGTACAGGCTGTGGTACCTAATAGAAGAAACCAGAAACTAAGCAACTGAAACAAACTAATGCCTCCACCATGTTAATAACAGACTTATGGTTTATTGTGCACACACTAATGCACCAGATTATTTAATGTTTACATATTTCACACAGTCATTTGTATTAACATTTCCAAAGACTTCTAATTAAACTAAGTGATATTGTCTTACTGTAGAATTAACCCTTTTGCAGCCACAGATGCAGCATTCTCCTGGCTGAATTTCCTGTTAAAGTGATTTGGGCAATTTCTACATGCTGAGCAAGGTGCCCCCCTCCCAGCCTCACCATGTGTCTCAAGCTTCCCGGTCTCACCTGGGTGCCCAGGATCTCCATGGTGGGTGTTAGGATGGAGAGCAGCAGGGAACCAGCAAATGTCAGTTGGCTTATCTCCTCAGGAAAGTATAAGCCATGTAACCTGAAGTAGCTGCCTCCAATTTCACAGCTATCAACCCCAGCCACTTTGGGCAGAGAAGAAGCTAATCAAGCACAGCCCATTTATTATTAGGGGTAAAGAGTGATACAGGAGAACCTACAAAGAGGGTAGCAATAAAGGCTCATAAAAAAAAAAAAAAAAAAAAAAAAAAAAAAACACAACAGAATTTGGCATGTGGTAGACAAGATACTATGAGCTTCTTGACATGACCCAGTTACAATAGATAGAACGTGTAGGGTCCTTGAATGCACACAGTTTTTGATAATTGGAAAAAAATAAAAATTAAAAATAAACCTTGATTTTGACAGAATGTTGTGAACAGATAACTGCATGCACAAACAAGCGTTATGGATATGAAAAAGGGGGAGGAGGAGAGGTCTATGTTCTTTCTAATCAGAAAGTAGACAGGACTGACAACATCCCTTAAAAAAGGAGGAGAAGTTTACCTTTCATAACCGGTTACACCAATATTCAGGGTGTAACATTACAAAGAGGGCTGGCCCCCTGCTCCCAACCCACCCACAATTGCCCATTGTGACAGAAAAACCAGGGATCTTCTCCCCCCACTAGCCGTCACAATTTTATAAAACGTGGCAGTGTGGGGCTCCACCAGCATCGCCAGTCCCAACAGCCTTTGCGCCTGTTGACTTGTAGTTCTCAATGCACTACCACAGCACTGTGGTAGTTCATGGATTCTTCCTGTCAGTGGTGGTACTAGCACACAGGTACACTGCAATGCAAAAAAGTCTTGCATGGCACCAGAAATCTGCTGATCACTGATGCAATGCTTTCAAGGTGCCTAAACACACAAAGTAAATGCACTTTACCTGCAAAAAAGTGCATTTATTTGTTAAAAAGGATGTTTCTGTTAAGAATTCAGGCATGTTATTTCCAGCTAGGTTCACATCTGTGTTTTTGTAGTGCATTTGCAGATCTGCAGAGACCATACAATCCATTGAACATTTCATATGGCAGCCTCTCAACTAGAGTGCTGCGGCATCTTGGTAGAGAAAGGCCATCAGATGAGCCTGAGCTCCTGATCCTCAGTTGAACTGTACATCTGCACTGAGCGCTTGGTCAGACTGTTGAATACCGCAGCTTTTTATAATAGCAGAAAGGATTGCCGCTCCTCTGAAAAACAATCCATGCTCCGATTGCTTTTTAGAAGCATTTGACAGGCAGTAACGAGGCAATGTGTTGACTCTCCACCACACGTTTTAAAATAAATGCATCACCACATCACAACCACGTGCAATCCAATTCCTATACCCTGGGGTATACTTCCACCTGTGACCACAACATGTGTACACCCTCAGCTGCTGCCTCTGAAGCTACAGGGGGAGCAGTTGGGAACAGTACAAACAGCTTAACCACATGGTTTACCGTCCTCCAACCTCACATGTGAACAAGTCCTTGGTTCACATCTGTGTGCTACATGTAGGGCAGCCCATTAATTTCAGTGGGCTGCCATATTTGCAGAAATGCAGGGAAAGTCCCCACTTTTTTTTCCCCTTAACTGCTGCCCCGCCACTCTAACATATATACTTCTACAGGGTGGCAGGGGTGCACAAAATCACATACATACATACATACATACACACAACGATTTTGAATTTACAGCCATCGCTATCAATCACTGGCTCCTGGCGATTACCAAGCATCTCCAACGGGGAAGATGGGTTTACTAACAGTTCTCCCTGTCAGCTCGGGAACACTGCTCTGGATTGGCTGTGTACAGCACAGCCATCCAGAGCATTGTTCCTACAGTGAAGCACCAACGCACAGCCCCCAAGAAAAACACTCCCTGCGCACAGTTAACCCTTTGATCGCACCTTGTTAACCCCTTCTGGCCAAGTGTCATTAGTAAGAGTGTCAGTGCTTTTTTTTTTTTTTTTTTTTTTTTTTTTTTAGCACTGATCACTGTGTTGGTCTCACCTGGGATGTCAGTAACACCAAGCGAGTTCCCCCCCCCGTGTCAGAATGTCCGCTGCATTTCTGCTATAAGTCGCTGATCACTGCCATTACTAGTAGTAGAAAAAAAAACCCCACACAAAATTCCAGTATCTATACCACCATTTGTAAAAGCTATAACTTTCAAGTGAACCAATTAATTTACACGTATTTTTTTTTTAGCACACGTAGCAGAATACATTTGTCTAAATTTATGACGAAATTTGTTTTACTTTTTTTTAAATGTTTAAATAGGAAAAAGTCAAAAAGCAGGAGCATGCATGTGGATAAAGACTTACAACCTGTCTGATCTGCATACTGGTATTCAAACAAGTGCTAAAGCAGAACCTGGATTTCATTCAAAGTTAAAATCATACCCCTGCAGTGGAATTAAAAAAAACTTAATTCAACTGTTTCCCAAAACAGATACATCCAAGACATTCCGTGAAGGATAACTGTCACTGTCCTTTTAACTGAATTGTCTAGCTCTTAAATGTCTGATGTCATAACTGGTCACAGGTTCCTCATGGCAGTTGCAGATCAAACAGAATAAAATGGAGCTTCCGTGGCTGTAAAGGAATAGGAGGGTTTAGTTTCTCTTTAACTGCAACACCTGTGGCAAGAGGTCACCAATGTTTAGGTGAACGTACATCAGGCATCCTTCCTGGTGCCATTCAGAATGCCACTTAAAAAAACCCAAATAGGAAGGGGAACAAAACTGGGAATTCAGAGGCCGAGATCTTGCTAAAAAGATAAACAAACTCAAAAGAAAGATTATATTTCAGTAATATGATTACTCTTCAAATTTTAATTAAAACAAAGGGTCCTTCTCTTCAAATATTAGCATTTGTAATTGAGCCCTATGCACATAAATGATCAATATGTCGTCATAAAGAGGGTATTGCAAAAGTGCAACATCTCTGAAGCCCAACACAGTAGCAATATCCTGTCCCATGGTACTACCATTTAAAAGCAGCGAATACACTTACATGTGCCTGTCAATTTTCTTGGACTCACGGTAACGGCGGAGCAGGCGGCGAAGAATGCGCATTCTCCTCATCCAGGCCAACTTCTCAGGCATACGAGCATTGGCAGTACCCTTTCTCTTACCTGAAGAAAGACAACCATGTCAATGAAATTAACTTTACAGGACATTTTATGACCCAAGTGGGCATTTGATTAGGAAAGTGCTTGCTTTTAATGCTCTATTCTATTCCACCTCAATCATCAATGGGAAGGTTAATGGTACCACAGTGGTCTACAATTAGAGGCTTAAAATCGAACCTGACCCAGACTGGTAACATTGTGAAGGGATGGATGCTGCTCAATTGAACCCAGGAGTCCAATATTGAGGAATGCCCTCAGCTGGTGTTCTGGCCATGCCCTTTCACCCCACCCACCAGGGCTTGGTCACAGAGGCACAGGGTCAGTTGAGTAGTGTCCATCCCTTCACTTGTATTGGCCGACACTGGAATCGCTCAGACTTCTGTTCCTCTCTTCTCAATTGCCGGTGGGGTCATCCTTTTAATTCCATCCATAACTTTGAGCGGTGCCATAAGGTATACTTTGTCACTAAATTTATTTTAAGGTTAGCTCCAGCAAGTTAAATTTACCATCTACTTACTCCAGGAATGTCACCTCTGCCATCTGCATCTGGATTATCCAAAATATATTTGTGCCTACACGCCTTTCTTTCAGCACCTAGCAAACCTGCACTCCCATACTGGAGAACCCATTATTAGGACACCATTATTTGGTTTTGCATTGGCCGAGCAGCTGGGAAGAACCAGAAATGTCACCAATGGAATCTCAGAGAAAGGTAACCAGCAATGAATTTTTTCAAGTTTCGGGTCAAGTTCAACTTTAAAGCAATTTTAAAAACCCAAAAACAAATGGTGGCTGCCTTGGTTTTCTTTTAAGATTTTTTTTTTTTTTTTTTTTTTTCTTTTTCACCTGGTGGTCTAGCTCTGTTTGATGGCGGAAGCAGCAGAGGTAAGGGTGTGCGTATGAAGGCATTGGATGACTGTTTGAGGAGGGGGGAGGTTTGAAAATACAGGTGTACTGATGAAAGCTGGGGAAGGGGCCTGCAGACATTGGGTGGAGGTAAGCATCTCTGCTGCCGCCATCTTCTCCTAAGCCTGGGGGGGTTACTGATGGAGGGGTTGAACAGGAGGTTTTCCTACAAATCTAGCTAGCCAACAGAGTGGAAGAAGAACTTGCTACTTTAGGCAATATCCCCCCAGTGGTAAAACTGATCTAGTCATTCACAGAGGGAAAACAAAACTATGCCAAGAAAAGGAAACTGCCATTATATTAGGAACGTAAATTCAGATCTGAAATTATTCAGCTTAGCCCACTTAAGGCCTGGTTCACACCATTGCAGTTTGTGTTTTGCTGTGCGGTTTTGCATGCGTGTTTTTGATGCGGTCTGATTTTTTTGGTGTCAACTTGTTGCTGGGCAGACTAAAAACGCATCAAAAAATGCCTTTACAAAAACACAGCGGCTCAAAAAAAAAAAAAAAAAAAAAAATTGCTAAAAATTAACAATCTAACATAAATCTCTGAACGGAACTACAACCTAACCCACAGATGTGAACGCGTCCAATAGAAAACCATGCTAAATGGACTGTAGTGTTTCTCTACAAAAAGCACTTAAAAAAAAAAAAAAAAAAAAAAAAAAAAAGCATAGGTGTGAACCAGGCCTAAAGGTCTATGTATAAAACGTTTGCTGTGGATAAGTGGCAAACATCCAAACAGAAAAAAAAAGCAGCTGGAATGTCTCTAAAATGATGAGTTTCTAAGCACCACCGACTGGAGATGCATTCTTCCCAACGGAGGTTACTTGCATCACTAAAAATGCTCCAAGTGGCATCCATCACTAGGAATCTGATTAACTTACCAATGCCCATGTGTCTGCCCTTCCTACGTGCAAGAGTGTTCTTGCGGCAGCGAGCACGAGAATGAACAGTTACTGGTTTGCGGATAATCAGACCATCCTTAACCAGCTTTCGGATTTGCTGACCTAGAGGGGAAAAAAAAATAAACGTAAGAGTCTTGTACCTATACACCAATAACTGCACAAAGGAAAAGAGATCACTTACGGGAGTTGGCATTGGCAATCTCATTGGTTTCATTTGGATCCAGCCATACTTTTTTCTTGCCGCAGCGCAGCACGCTGGAGGCAAGCCTCTTTTGAAGTCTGAGCATACTGGAAAGAGGAAAAAAAAAAAAAAAAATGTAACTTTAAAAAGGACAACAAACACTACACAATGTCACTCCTACAGTATCAAACAAGCACAGAGTATGAGCAAAGGCCATCTAGTGGGCTTTATTTCTAAGAAAAAAACGCTAAGCACAGTACTAACCATTCACACATTCAAACATTTAACCCTACACAGAGGACAAATGTGACAGTTCAGAAACTTTGCTGTGCAGACTGTTCCAGATTAACTGCCATTTTATGGTAGAGGAAGGCTAAACCAAGAAATTGACAGTCACTAAAGGATTACCTAATCCCAGTAAAAGGAATACCTACTGTCACCATGCATCCTCAAGAGTCAGCGCATTGAAGGGGTTTGTCAGCCAGGCTGTGTAGCCTTGGTGCCCATTTATGTCCCAAAACAATGCTGGAAAAGCATCTTCTCCGCACATATCCATGCATACCATGTAAGACAAGTGTGCACTTGATATCACAACAGGCTGCACAGAGAAAAGGGGTTCTCCATTCTTCTAGCCGACTGTGGCCCAATCTACTTCAATGGCCAAATTCTGACTCTGTATGCCGAGAAATGCATCATGGCAGAGGAACATGTACATTCCCATACAGCAGGGGATGAAATCCATGGCTGGCAGTGTGAAAGAGGCTGAACAGTGACAACTCGGGGAATTCTAGATCTTCCTTCCCTTTCAGTCCCAGTGACAGTAAATGCACTTAACAGGGACACCTACAGCAAGAGGAAAGATTTCTGACAGGGGTTCCAACGCCACCCTACTGCACCAAAAAAAAAGGGGTTTTAGCTTTAACCACTTCACATCATACGACAACGTGAACTTTGAGGGGAGATACCTGGATAAGGCAGCTACAAGCATCATCCAGATATTTTTGAGCCGGCGACTCCCTTAAATGTGAAAGCCATCCTAGTGGCTCATTGGGCGGGGGAGGGGGGAGAGGACAACCCCCAGCGACACCTCTCCGTGTGATCAGGCAGCCGGAGAACCGCTCTGGTGGCAGCGCCAATTTACTATAGAGCTTGCCAAGGACCAGATGGTCCCCAGCCATCTCCATGATCCTAGGAGGCCGGAAGCGAAGGAAAGCCCATACCTGGGCACAAAGACATGGGGTCTCTGCTGCAAGCTGTTATGGTAGCAATTATCCCGTGCACATACAACCCAACATGCCACGAATAGAAAGATCGGGACAAGCCAGTGATGACATGTGGATGTGGGTCTCAGCAATGGATTCCCTCCGTCACATGAGGATGGCAGAAACTGGATGCTGGACTGCTATAAGCTGCGGGACTGTGTGGATGAATGGCCAGCCACACAAGTGGATGGAAGGCTACGTTCACACCTATGCAGGCTGTATTTCAGCCGTTTCTGCATTGCGTTTTACAGGTTTTTTTTCCTTCATTTTTCTTGTTACTAGGCAGATTTAAAATGCAAATCGCATAAAAAACGCAGTGCATGCTTCTCTGCAGCATTTCCATTGAAGTCCATAGAACCAAAAATGTAACTTTTTGCTGTCAAAAAGTGTACCCCTTTCCAAAAAACGCAGCGGGTGAAAACACGCAGATGTGAACATGTCCCATAGGAAATCATGTTAAATGGACAGCACTGCGATTCTGCAAAACACTTAAGTGGGAACCTGGGGTGAATGTGGATACCAGGGCAGACTGACCCTTCATTTTTGATAATTGATTTGACAAAGGGGCCACACCTGAATCACATAATCATGAGGGCAGCCCAAGCCACAGTTCCAGCCTCTACTTAGCGTGCGGTCCATCACATCCACCTGGGTTTCTGACAGTGCGATGGCCTGGAGGATCAGTCACACACCAGCGGCCTGTCTACACTAGTATCCACTTATGCGGCTGGACATTCATCCACAGGATCCCGGAGCTTATACCTAGCTTTAGGGAGATTCTATTTATCCTGATTGATATTAGCACTGAAAGGGGAAGAGAACCCCATTTTTTGGGACACCTCCAGATTACATAGAGGGGAAATCCTCCAATAGGGGACACTAGTTCCAGGGATTCCCTCTCTTTCTGTTGTAAATATGGCACAGGAAGTGGAGAAATCTCCTCAATGGGACACCGATAGCAAAAAAAAAAAAATAGTGGTTATACCTAGCACAGCCTCCAAAGCAGTGTGATTACAGTGAAACAAACACAAGTAAAACAGCACACAGTAAAAGCACACACAGTAAAAACAGCACACAGTTAAACCCTTTGATCGTCCCTCATGTTTATATTTATTTCAGGTACTTATATAGCAACATCAATTTTACGCAGCACTTTACATATATATTGTACATTCACATCAGTCCCTAACCCCCAAGGGGTGTACAATCTAAGGTCCCTAACTCACATTCATACATACACATACTAGGGACAATTTAGACAGGAGCCAATTAACCTACCAGCATGTCTGGAGTGTGGGAGGAAACCCACGCAGTCACAGGGAGAACATGCAAACTCCAGGCAGGTGCTGCCATGGTTGGGATTCAAACCAATGACCCGAGTACTGCCAGGCGGAAGTGTTAACCATTTAGCCACTGTGCTGTTAACCCTTTGAGGACCAAGGGACGTATTTGTCCCATGTTTTTAATTGCGTGTATCATCTGATTAAGAGCTTAAAACTTTTTTTTTTTTTTTGGTTTGAGTCAAAATATTAGTTCTTATCAACAAACAAATGGATCTACCTTTTTGCCAATTATTTCATGAAATGGCTTAGTTACAGCAACTGAAGTGTACGAACTTTAAAAACAAAAAAAATTGATTCTTTCGGCGTTCCAAAATCTTACGGTCCTCAAAGGTTAACCCCTTCCTGCCCAGTGTCAGTGCTGTTTTTTTTAGTACTGATCGCTGTATTGGGGTCACTGGGGATATCAGTGACACCAAGTCAGTTCCCCCCCAGTGTCAGAATGTCCGCCGCAGCCCCGCTGTAAGTTGCTGATCAGCACCATTACTAATAAAAAATCCCAGTATATATACCGCCATTTGTAAACGCTATAACTTTCACGTAAACCAATTAATTTCCACGTATTGGGATTTGTTTTGTTTAGCAAAGACATGGAGCAGAATACATTTTGGCATAAATCTGATTTTTTAATGGACATGTTTAATAGCAAAAAAAAGTAAAAAAAAGTTTTTTTCCTGTCTTTTTTTTGTTTATTAGCACAAACGCGATCACATAACACCGAAAGAAATCTAAATTTGTGGGGGAAAAAAAAAAAACGACATGTCGTTTGGGTGCAGCGTTGCATGACCGCACAATTGTCAAAGTAACGCAGCACCGCAACAGATGGCCTGGTCATGAAGGGGGGAATCCTCAGGAGGGTGAGTGGTTAAGGGATCATGAAGGGGGGAATCCTCAGGAGGGTGAGTGGTTAAGGGATCATGAAGGGGGGAATCCTCAGGAGTGGTGGTAAGGGATCATGAAGGGGGGAATCCTCAGGAGGGCGAGTGGTTAAGGGATCGTCCACTTGCCTTCCCTCCTAGTCTTCAAGGGATGGGGGGTCTGGAGGTGCAAGGGGATCACAGATCCTCAGAGGGTCAGGATTCCAATGGAGATGACATTCCTATTGGTGGGATTTATTATGGACTCAGCAAGGCGAGGTGACTGCCAGTACGGAGGAGCCCAGGGCCGGTGTGAGTTCAGGCAGTGATAGAGGCCCCCCCTCCTACCCGGCCTGACACACGTCACAGGCCTGAGGAGCCCAGGGCCGTGTGACCATCCCGGCCTGACACACGTCACAGGCCTCTACCATCTACAACCGACACACGCCCTCCATTCCCGGCTCCGAGCCGCACCTTATCACAGACACCTTCACCCCCCACACCTTCCCCGTGCCTTCTCCGCCACTCTGCAGCCTGCTCTCACCCATTCCCCCCAATCCTCCCCGGCTCTCACCTCATGGCTGCTGCTCGGCTCCAGCTCAGAAAGGAAAGGAAGTAGTCTCGACGCTACCATTATCATAAGGGGGTGCTTCCACCGCCAGGAGGGGAGGGGACAACTACCACAGAGCTTCGCCGAATCCTCCACATTCACTACAACCACCGCAAGACACCATAGTCCAGCATGTGAGTGCCGAACAAGAAAGCTGAGCTGGAATAAAGGCAGTAAACGGCGTGAGATGGATAAAGAAGCACCCCCGTGTAGAAATGGTTTGGCCGAGCATGAGCAGTGCATATGAGGGAAGCCGACTCGGGGAGGGGAGGAGTAAAGAGAATCCTAAAATGGCGACCGGGCTGAGGGAAGTGTGAGTGGGCGGGACTTTGTGGAGTGGGCGGAAGTACGGGGCGAAGGGTAGTTTATAGCGCTGTAAATGTCGGGGGTGCACGAACTTGGTGTAGAGTCCCATCACCGGGAGGGTGAGGCTCCAGAGAACCTACTCTGCTCTATACACAGATCACCAACAATTTCATATGTTCATGAGCTTCACACTGTTCGGACCACCCACCAACTGTCACTTGTTTCATAGTAATTGGTAGTTGTCTAGGTATTGCTAAGTGTTCCTGCATGGGAAGACCCCTTACTGTTATCTCACATATATATTCTTATTATTATATACAAATTTACCACCCTAACTCCTCCCACAGTTTTTACACTACATAGACAGTAATATCCCGAAACGTGCGGATTGTTCCCGATTGGTGTGCTATTACTTTGGAACGTTTGCCGAATGGTTCACAAATTTTTTTTGTGGTGAAATTGGTCCCATAGGAATGAATGGCGGAATGTTCAAAACTAGAGTAGGAGCTTACCAAAGCTAGAGTGTGAGCTGAAAAATCAGGACATGATTTCTAAACTGCCATCACTCCCTCATTTTCAAGCCCACCTACACAAATCTTATATCAAAACGTTCAGCTATCCCTGCTGCCACTAAAAATGTCCACGGCTAAGCCATAGTCCTGATAGTTTTCACAATATGACCATTTGTTTGCACTCATGCCACCCATTGACATTCATTGAAACTCCACTCTAGC